CCAGCGAGCCTACGAAGGAATTACTCACACCTGGTGGGGAGCATCATGGAATTGGCGATGGAGAAGGGTTGGTGATGACGAAGAACGAAGATCCCCCTCTCTGGAGCCACAAATGGACTCCAGATCTGTCCTCTCGAGGAAGAACAGGGCTTGGCGACGGCTCCGTCTCGTGGATCGTGATAATTCTTTCTCCCTGATTTTTTCTGGAATAATGTGATTTTATAGTATCAGGGAGGTCACCAGCGGGGCCACCAGGTGGGTACAACCCACTTGGGCGCGCCAGGAGAGGGGGCGCGCCCTGGTGGGTTGTGCCCACCCAAGGGCCCCTCTCTGGTGGGTCTTGGCTCCGGAAATTCTTATTATTGGTATAAAAAATCCTTGCAAAGTTTTGTTCCACTCTGAGAACTTTTATTTTGCACAAAAATAACACCATGGTAGTTCTGCTGAAAATAGTGTAAGTCTGGGGTTAGTTTCATTCAAATCATGCAAATTAGAGTACAAAACAAGAGGAACAGTGTGAGAAAAAGTAGATACGTTGGAGACGTATCATAGCGCAGGAGCTCGCTCACCATGAGCAGCGCAGCCTGCGCGTCCGCCGGGCTACGACGAGCATGGGACGATGAACCGGCCAGACCCAGCGATGTGGTGGCGGTGCGTCCATTGGGCCGCATGGAGGGGTGCAACGATGAAGCTTGCTGCTCGTGCCCTGCTGGGCCATTGGCAGCGTTGGCAGCGAGCGACGGAGAACGACGAGGAGGCCCGCCCGCGGGCGCCATCTGGGCGACGCGAGCTGCGAGGGCGGCTCGACGCTCAGCGCAAGCTCAACGGGCGTCAGCCATGGAAGCGGTGGAGCGGTGGCGGTTCGACCGGCGGAAGAGAGGCTCCGACGCACCCCTACCTAGCGCGCCAAATGTCAAATTTCGGGTTCCACAGACCCTTGAGAGGTTCGAACTCTGGGGTGCATGTGAAGAACTCGTCCTCCCCAGTCTGCCAGCTCGCTAATCTCACGGCTTAGCTCGACGAACCGAATGAACAAGAGACACAAAAGTTTACCCAGGTTCGGGCCACCTTGCGGTGTAAAACCCTACTCCTTCTTTGTGGTGGATTGGCCTCGGGGGGCTGAGGATGAACTAGTACAGTGGAGAACAGCCTCATGAGGAGAGGTGTCCTTGAGCTCGATGAGCCGGTGGGTGTGTGGATGATCCATATGATCCCTCCCCCTCTATGGTGGTGGCTAGGTCCTATTTATAGTGGCCTTGGTCCTCTTCCCAAATGAAGGCAGGAAGGGATCCCACAACGGAAAAAATTGAAGGAAGACAACTAGTACATGCTATCATGACAAAAGTAGTCTTCACCTGCATAAAGCCTCTAGTCGTGACATTATGGTAGGCTCGACGATGACCTCGGTTGTGCCGTCCTAGCAGTCTTAGTCTTGTTGCACCGAAATGGAAACCTTTTCCTGATTCCTCGGGACACCGCGCCTGCGCTTGCGTCCTTAGCACCAAAGAGAAAACTGGTACACTGCGCCCGCTGGCGCCCGCCTGGCCTTGGTCGTCATGGCTCATGTCATCTAAACCTCGTGAGGTGCACCTTGCATAATATCTCCGCTCCTTGGGACTCAGCCTGGGGAGGCCGTCCCATGTGGAGGTCTTGGTGTCGTTCGCCTCGTGAGGGTCTTGAGTTGTCAATGTTGAAGATGGGCCATGCTAGGTTGTTGATGGAGCCACGCCATGGGCCACGGGTAGGCAAGTCTAGGTACCCCCGTTCCCAGAATGCCGACAGCGCCCACCTGGCCTTGGTCATCATGGCTCACGTCATCTGAACCTCGCGAGGTGAGGCTTGTCTAGAAATCTCCGGTGCTCACGAGTCGGCCTAAGGATGTCGCTCCTTCTGGAGGTCTTGGTGTCGTCCGCCTCGCGAGGCTTGGCCCCTCGCAATGGTCTTGAGTTATTGATGCCATAGGTGGGCCGTACCAGGCCGTCGATGGAGCCACGTCATGGGCCGTAGGCAGGCGAGCCTGGGTACCCCCGTTCCCAGAACGCCGACAGTTTGTCCAGATCCAATGAATTGTGGATTTATGGTCAGATTATCTATGAATATTATTTGAGTCTTTTCTGAACTATTTTATGCATGATCAAATATCTTTGTATTTCTCTTTGAATTATCGGTTTGGTTTGGCCAACTAGATTGGTTTTTCTTGCAATGGGAGAGGTGCTTAGTTTTGGGTTTAGTCTTGCGGTGTCCTCACCCAGTGACATAGTAGGGGTAGTGAGGCACGTATTGTATTGTTGCCATCAAGGGTAAAAAGATGGGGTTTTCATCATATTGCTTGAGTTTATTCCTCTACATCATGTCATCTTACTTAAGGCCTTACTCCGTTCTTATGAACTTAATACTCTAGATGCATGCTGGTCAATGTGGTAGTAGATGCAGAATCGTTTCGGTCTACTTGACATGGATGTGATGCCTATATTCATGATCATTGCCTTGGATATTGTAACACCCACAATGCGGCTATATATCCCACGTGTCGGGGCATGACTAAGAGGCATAGCCGCATGGTAGGTTTGTCACAAGAGGGGTAATCTTCACACAATCCCATGTACTAAATAAGAAAGGGATAAAGAGTTGGCTTACAATCGCCACTTCACACAAATACAAGTTAAACATACATCATCCAAAGTACAATCAAGGTCCGACTACGGAACCCAAAATAAAAGAAGACAACCCCAAATGCTAGGTCCCCGATCGTCCCAACTGGGCTCCACTACTGATCAACCGGAAACGAAAACAACACAACGAACAAGATCTTCATCGAGCTCCCACTTGAGTTGGGTTGCGTCACCTGCACTGGTATCATCGGCACCTGCAACTCTTTGGAAGCATCTGTGAGTCACAAGGACTCAGCAATCTCACACCCGCGAGATCAAGACTATTTAAGCTTATGGGTAGGAAAGGGTAGTGAGGTGGAGCTGCAGCAAACACTAAGCATATATGGTGGCTAACATACGCAAATAAGAGCGAGAAGAGAAGCAACTCAACGGTCGTGAACTAGAAGTGATCAAGAAGTGATCCTGAATCTACTTACGCACAAGCATAAACCAGAACCGTGTTCACTTCCCGGACTCTGCCGGAAAGAGACCATCACGGCTACACACGTGGTTGATGCATTTTAATTAAGTCAAGTGTCAAGTTATCTGCAACTGGACATTAACAAATTCCCATCTGCCCATAACCGCGGGCACGGCTTTCGAAAGTTCAAACCCTGCAGGGGTGTCCCAACTTAGCCCATCACAAGCTCTCACGGTCAATAAAGGATATTCCTTCTCCCAAGAAAACCCGATTAGACTCGGAATCTCGGTTACAAGACATTTCGACAATGGTAAAACAAGACCAGCAAGACCACCCGATGCGCCGACATCCCGATAGGAGCTGCACATATCTTGTTCTCAGGGCAACACCGGATAAGCTAAGCGTACAGGTACCAACATAACCCAAATTGCCAAGGGACAATCCCGCACGGTGCTCTGGTTCGGACCAACACTTAGAGAAGCACTGGCCCGGGGGGTTAAAATAAGATGACCATCGGGAGCGCGACTCCGAAGGGAAAAGTATAGGTGGTGGTGAGGCAAATGGTAAAACCAAGGTTGGGCCTTGCTGGAGGAGTTTTATTCAAAGCGAAATGTCAAGGGGTTCCCATAACACCCAACCGCGTAAGGGACGCAAAATCAAGGAACATAACACCGGTATGACGAAAACTAGGGCGGCAAGAGTGCAACAAAACACCAGACATAAGGCCGAGCCTTCCACCCTTTACCAAGTATATAGATGCATTAAAGTAAATAAGAGATAATAATGATATCCCAACAATATCCATGTTCCAACATGGAACAAACTTCATCTTCACCTACAACTAGCAACGCTATAAGAGGGGCTGAGCAAAAGTGGTAACATAGCTAAACAACTGTTTGCTAGGAAAGGTGGGTAGCATGATATAGCAAGTGGTAGGTAGCGCGGCATAGCAATAGAACAAACAACTAGCAAGCAAAGATATAAGTGATTTCGAGGGTATGGTCATCTTGCCTGAGATCCCGCAAGGAACAAGAACGAGACCATGAAGAAGACAAACGGACGAAGTCGAACGAATCCTCACAAACGCGACGTTATTGGAACTAACCCGAAGAAGCAACACCGGAAAGAATCAAACAACATAGTAAACAACCATTAAAAAAACATGGCATGATGCACAACCAAGTATGATGCATGTCCGGTTTAAAGAGGCATGGCATGGCAAAGTGCACAAACAATACCACAAATTAAGTGGAGCTCAATATGCAACGAGTTGCATATTGACGGAACACCACATGACTTATTTAGTTCTCTCTCGTTTATGTACTCAACAATATTGCATGTTGGTTAGCATGGCATGAGGTGAAGCATATGAAAACTACCTATCTAGGCAAGTTTAAATGAGGCCGGAACAACAAGCAACAAGTCCGGAAAAATCCTCATGTGCAAAATATGGATTTGGTATGTTCTACCCTATACACAATTTTTGAGTTATTAAACATGCAAAGTAAAGCCACCATGATAAACTATGCATTGTTCTACCCCATTTACATATATAATATATTTAAAACCGAGCTATGGTTTATTAGTTATGAAATAAATCATTTTTAACATGGAATTTAAGCAAATTAATGCAAACAGCAATTTAAACAACTCAAACATGCATGAAAGTTGGAAATTGTGAAACTAGATGAAATTCTAGTCATGTTTCATATATAGAACATTTTAAACTGATGCACGGTTTGAGAGTTATGATATGCATGATGTTTAGGGGCTATTCTGCAAATCTGCTGTCTCAGGAATAATTAGGAAAATCGCAGGTCAGGAAAAAAACACGGGCCAAATCTGACTAACCCAACAATGTGCAGGGGCAACCGGAAGATGGGCTTCCTCGCATTGGGCCTGGCAAAGGCAAGGGGGGTGCTGGACCGATGGATCTGGCAGCCCAGCTCAACCAGGAGAGGGTCAACGCGCACGGGCGCGCTCGCTGCAGAGTGCAGAAGAACAGGGTCTCGGCCCCCGGGTCGGCAACGGCGACGTGGGATGCTCACGCCGGTGAACTTGAGGACGAGCGGGCGCCGCGGCTCCGGGAACATGGTGGGGCGGCGAGATTCGACGCGAGGAAGAGGATTTGGCCGGAGACGATGGCTTGTCGAAGCAGGGGAGACTCGGGCAGCGCACGGGGTAGAGGAAGCAGAGGCCGCAACAGGCGAACTTGGTGGCAGCAGCAGGTCCAGCAGGGGTCACCGGGGCTTGGACGCGGGGCTCCGGTAAGGTTGGGGAGGCCCGGCGCGCGAGGAACGGCGCAGGGAAGGACGCCTGGGCACGGGTCCATGGCGCGGGCACGGGACGCCATGGTGGTTGCTGCTGTGCTGGTTGCCAGGCAGACGACGGCAGAGCACAGCGAAGAGGCCCGGAACGGGCAGGTTGGCTGCGGGGGAGGACCTGAACGCCGGAACCGTGGTGATGAAGCCGTTTCCCGGTGGTGGCTTGAGCATTAGGCGGCATGATGCTCCGGGTCGAGACGAAGCCGGGGATGGGCGCTGGCCTTGGCACAGTCATGCGCGAGCGGGATAGGGCGTAGGGTGCTGGTGACTGTTCGTTGTTGTGGCAAGTTAGAGAGAGAGGCGTTTGCGGGAAGGAGGAATAGGAGCATGGGAAGAAGGAAGACAGGGGCGCGGGGTCATCCTCGTTAGCCGGCGGCTCCAACGAGGTCCAGCTAGGGCGCCGGGGACGTCAGGATCCAGGAGGCGGGGATGGTGGGCGAGGAGGTGGAGCTCGGGCTCCTGCGGGATTTGAGCGTCGGCGGTCGTTGACTCGAGATGGATTGATGGGGTGGATGGTGGTTGGCTGCTGGTGATCCCGATGGGGATTGAGCGGGTGGTGGCGCGATGGGATAAGAAGCCTAAGTTTTGGGGATTGGTCTAGGGTTGGACTATATATAGCAATAGGATTTTTGGGTAGGGGCTAATCCGGTCCGTCTGATCTAAATCGGGCGGTCGAGAGAAAAAAAATAGGTAGGGTGTCCAAATAAGAAAACGGTGATGCAATGTAGATGTTTGGGGATGATCTGAATCCAACAGTGATGACTGCCCGGGTCGGGTCCGGGGAAGTTTCGGACGCGCACGAGAGGTATATGCACGGCGCAAAGAGGGGTAGGCTGGGCCTAGGTGGACTGTGGAGAGCGGGTTGGTCTGAGAGAAGAGGGGAGAGATGCAACCCGACACGGTTTCCGGAGACCGAAAATGTCCGACGAAAAGACCGGATATATTGCCGCTATAGTTATCCATTGGGCGTCAAACGGACTCCGAATGCGATGAAACTTGGCAGGTGGCCTACCTACACTATAATAAGACCACACGCCAACTTTCATCCCATTCCGAGGACATTTTCCGGCCACTTATAAAATACTATTTCGGACATGCCGCGGGCGCGTGCGAGTGTGGTTGGGCTCAGAACGGACAACGGACGGAACTGGGGGAACTCGGATGAATGCAAGTTTTGAAAACATGCAAATGCAATGCGGATGATGACATGGCAAGATGCAACATGCAAGCGAATGACAAGGCAACAACACGAATAACTGAAGACACCTGGCGCAACGGTCTCGGGGCGTCACAACACTCCACCACTACAAGAGGATCTCGTCCCGAGATCTAGGATGGCACCGGAGGGAAAATGGAAGAGGAAGAGAAGAGGTAAAACTAAGTTGCTTCTTTGGCAAACTAGTGAAACCAACCAACCTTGAGAGGTTAAACAAATTGGAAGGAGGAATCCAACAAGGATGCAAGAAGTTGAAAACACTTTGTTAGAAAAGAGGAACAAGGAACATCATGTTAACCTTGTAGGTTGCAAAGCTATGAATGACGAGCACAATGGACAAGAAGGAATTGAAACCACTCTGGTTGGAATGAGATAAACAAGGAAGTAGGAAGAACAAATTCGAACAGCACTCCAGTTGAAAAGAGACACAAGACTTGACAAGATGACAAGAACTCGAAGAGATGACACAACACTCTGGTTAAAACAAGATAGAGAAGGAATAAGATTGCTATAATTTGGGAAGCACTCCGACTATAAATGGACGGAATTGAACATGAACTTGAAAAGATTATAGGGTACTTGATGAAATCAACAACACACTGCAACCGGAACTATTGCAAGAATTGCACAAGGGATAAGAAAGATTTCATACAACACTCCGGTTGAGAAGGGGGGAAAACATGATAAGATGAGAGAACTTGAATGTTGGACGCGACACTCCGGTTGAATGGATAAGCAAAGGAAAGAACATGATCATTGAAAAAACGAGATGATGGGTGAATATAGCAACAATACAATGCCTCCGGAATGAATGTAAGAATGGAATCAAAAGAACGGAGGAGAAAACCACATCTTCTGCCTCAAATGAGCTTGAAAAAGCATCTTTGCAAAGAAGGATTGCACGGGGTTGTTCGAAAATCAAGAACAAAAAGAATAAGCTTGTAGTGGGCTTATGGAAAACTTCTCAAAATTGAGGCGAAATTCTTCCACTACGGAAAACAAAAGATTGGATTGATATCAACAAGAAGACAAGCTTATTTCACCGGGAGGATAAATGAAGAACTTGGGTCATTTATAAGCACCATAAATAGCAACAATCCTTAGGGAAAGCTTTAGGTGAAATATAATCCAAGATAAATCCAATGAAGAGATTGATGGGTTGAAAAGATGTCTTGGGCGAAAGAAAATGATGGATTTAGATATGTCACTCTTGAAAAAACTTGTGAATCATGAAACACAAATGGAAATTATCAACAATGACATAACACCACATCAAAAGATGAGATTTGAAGAATTGCACTTCGGAATGCAAGATGAAGAATACTTGAACTCCTCAAAACAAAACATGTGTTGAGCACCCTGTTTAATTTTGAGTATAGCTTGGCAGATCATAACTTCGAGAGATATGTTGAAGAACAATTGAAGTATGGAATGAATCCTTGACGAACCACCATGTAGAACCTCCATGAAGAACTCCGGTAACAAAATGATGATAAAAAAGAAAGAGAAGTTGAAAACACAAGGTGAAGCCTTGTAGTGATTTAGATGGATTTTCGCGATGATATAATTGAGAGAGCTTGGAACTCTGGGAAAAGAAAAGATGAAACAATTGAAACCAAGAATTTTTGATGAACCTCCGGAATAAGGAATTGAATTTACTCGATGAAACAAGAATAATAATTACATTATGCTCATCCTTCACCAATTAAATTGATGACAAGCAATGGATTTGGCATACTACTTATTCTTGTTGAAAGGATTAAGATAGATATGGCACAAACTTGAGAAAAGACTTCAACGATCCGCCGGTAAGATTGGGAAGAACAAATGATAACGTATGAAGAGGAACCTTGAACAAACCACCGTAAGGATTGAAAATGAATGAAGAAAAGATAAAGAAACACCGAGAAGAATTAGAAGATGAACGAAGATACTTGAGGGAATTTAGATATGTGAGAACAAATAGATCACGGGCTGAATATAGAATACTTGAGCGATGCACCGGTAAGATTTGGAGAATGAGAGATGAAAGCTGAGAATGAATAATTCTGAGTTGATGGCTTTCGGAGGATCAAACTGAGAAGACTTCTGATATATATATAATCCTAAGACTCAAAACATTTTGTTCTAGACTCAACAACGTTAGCAATTCGATCAAGCAGGGGCTCCTAAGTCGGGGAAGGCTCTGATACCAACTTGTAACACCCACAATGTGGCTATATCTCCCACGTGTCCGGGCATGACTTAGAGGCATAGCCGCATGGTAGGTTTGTCGCAAGAGGGGTAATATTTACACAATACCATGTACTGAATAAGAAAGGGATAAAGAGTTGGCTTACAATCGCCACTTCACACAAATACAAGTTAAACATACATCATCCAAAGTACAATCAAGGTCCGACTATGGAACCCAAAATAAAAGAAGACAACACCAAATGCTAGGTCCCCGATCGTCCCAACTGGACTCCACTACTGATCAACCGGAAACGAAAACAACACAACGAACAAGATCTTCATCGAGCTCCCACTTGAGCTGGGTTGCGTCAACTGCACTGGTATCATCGGCACATTGAACTGTTTTGGAAGCATTTGTGAGTCACGAGGACTCAGCAATCTCACACCTGCGAGATCAAGACTATTTAAGCTTATGGGTAGGAAAGGGTAGTGAGATGGAGCTGCAGCAAACACTAAGCATATATGGTGGCTAACATACGCAAATAAGAGCGAGAAGAGAAGCAACGCAACAGCCGTGAACTACAAGTGATCAAGAAGTGATCATGAATCTACTTACGCACAAGCATAACACCAGAACCGTGTTCACTTCCTGGACTCCGCCGAAAAGAGACCATCAGGGCTACACACGCGGTTGATGCATTTTAATTAAGTCAAGTGTCAAGTTATCTACAACCGGACATTAACAAATTCCCATCTGCCCATAACCATGGGCACGGCTTTCGAAAGTTCAAACCCTGCAGGGGTGTCCCAACTTAGCCCATCACAAGCTCTCACAGTCAATGAAGGATATTCCTTCTCCCAGGAAGACCCGATCAGACTCGGAATCCCGGTTACAAGACATTTCGACAATGGTAAAACAAGACCAGCAAGACCGCCCGATGCACCGACATCCTGATAGGAGCTGCACATATCTCGTTCTCAAGGAAACACCGGATAAGCTAAGCGTACAGGTACCAACATAACCCAAGTTGCCAAGGGACGGTCCCGCACGATGCTCTGGTTCGGACCAACACTTAGAGAAGCACTAGCCCGGGGGGGTTAAAATAAGATGACCCTCGGGAGTGCGACTCCCAAGGGAAAAGTATAGGTGGTGGTGAGGCAAATGGTAAAACCAAGGTTGGGCCATGCTGGAGGAGTTTTATTCAAAGCGAACTGTCAAGGGGTTCCCATAACACCCAACCACGTAAGGGACGCAAAATCAAGGAACATAACACCGGTATGGCGGAAATTAGGGCGGCAAGAGTGGAACAAAACACCAGGCATAAGGCTGAGCCTTCCACCCTTTACCAAGTATATAGATGCATTAAAGGAAATAAGAGATAATAATGATATCCCAACAATATCCATGTTCCAACATGGAACAAACTTCATCTTCACCTGCAACTAGCATAGTTATAAGAGGGGCTGAGCAAAAGCGGTAACATAGCCAAACAATGGTTTGCTAGGAAAGGTGGGTTAGAGGCTTTACATGGAAATATGGGAGGCATGATATAGCAAGTGGTAGGTAGCGCGGCATAGCAATACAACGAACAACTAGCAAGCAAAGATATAAGTGATTTTGAGGGTATGGTCATCTTGCCTGAGATCCCGCAAGGAACAAGAACGAGTCCATGAAGAAGACAAACGGACGAAGTCGTACGAATCCTCGCAAACGCGACGGTATTGAAACTAACCCGAAGAAGCAATACCGGAAAGAAGCAAACAACACAGTAAACAACCATCACAAAAAACATGGCATGATGCACAACCAAGTATGATGCATGTCCGATTTAAAGAGGCATGGCATGGCAAAGTGCACAAACAATACTACAAATCAAGTAGAGCTCAATATGCAACGAGTTGCATATTGACGGAACACCACATGACTTATTTAGTTCTCTCTTGTTTATGTGCTCAAAAAAATTAAATGTTGGTTAGCATGGCAAGAGGTGAAGCTTATGAAAACTACCTATCTAGGCAAGTTTAAATGAGACCAGAACAACAAGCAACAAGTCCGGAAAAATCCTCATGTGCAAAATATGGATTTGGTACCGTTCTG